TTGACTGTCTATGACCGTGAGAGGGATTGCAGAGCAATGAAAAACTACCCTTCAGCTAAAACAAATAAAAACAATACAACAATGAGATAATCTATTTCGAGAAGGGAGAGTTATATACGGGCTTGCATGCCACCGTTCACTCCAATCGTCTCTCCTGATATGTAGCTGGCCTCATCGGATACCTGAAACAAACATACGTTTTTTCCATGACAGGTCGAAGTAAACGTTATAAAAATGACGCCGTTAACGACCTCGGGAGAGACCGGAACCCGCGTGTGTGCTTTGCAGAAGCTCAACACACTCGATCCGCCGTGGGGGCATCAAAAGCAGGATTGTAGGGGGAGGGGGGGGGTCACTAGAAGGAGGTCCGAAATCACCCAACGTACCCAATGTAGTAACGCTGCATGGCAAGTCGTCTAGCTGAAGGAATGCCCTGTTGTTTGCGCACGAGACGGCCTCTTGGATGTCACGAACTTACCCAAGCTGATGACGAGGCTTGTCTGCGTTTGGCGCGGCGTCAACCCATTTTCTTTTTCATTCGGCAAGTGACAAGACTGTATCATATCGTTCGCATCAGTTGCTTCCCCCCCCCCCCCCTTAGTAGCTGTCGCTTACCCTCTTCAGCAACTCGTAGAGAACGTGGTGGCGAAGCGGCAAACCTAGCCTCAGCTGTTCGCTGCGGCTGATAAGCTAACACGCCCTATCATCCGCAGCGAACAAGACTGTAAGGTGTTGAGCTTTCTATCGCGTCAGTAACAAAATAATCCACTGACCACCCAGCACAATCGTTGTGCGAATTCCATCAGTGGTAGTATATGGGGCCCACCTATGGATAGTGGTGAGTGGTTTTTGGTGCTGGGAGGATTTTAAGTCATGATTTATCCGATTAAGGGGCGTTAGGTTCTTCTTCCGCTGGAAAGAAAAAGTTTGGGAGAACGATAAAAGGAAAAATGTTGCGGGTAGTAGCCGATGGTTGTAAAAAGGGGTCGTACTGAAACCATTTTCCCCACATATCTCGATAGTGTCGCTGCTACTAATGGACCCGTATTTAGACCGTATCCACATGCAAAGTCACTGCGACTCGAAGTGGAAAGCGCAAAGCTTATTAAAAACTGTTTCACCAACAGGGACGCGATGATGCCTTTCGACGTTTGAGCCTTTGAGAAGAAGTAAATTTTTGTGCTGCTCTGGTAGCCATCGCACTATTGGGATGTTCTTCGGCATACGCGACGACATAGCGGGCGGCCTGACGTCAGTTTCACTTGGCTTATCGAACGAGAGTCATTTTTGTCTGGGTGTTATCTGCCTTTTCCACCTAATTCCTTCACGACGCTCCACAGTTCTCTAATCTTTCTAGAGGCTTACAAGTTTCAAATACGGACTGCATGTTAACGAGGTAGTAACAAACTGAATTGTGACATTCCTCACGATTTCGTCCCGACAACGAAATCAATCAACCAACTCTAGGTCTCAGAATAGCTTTGTCCGATGTATGTAAATATGGAAAGACTATCCATTTCCAGCTTAAAAAAGCCTTACACAACCCTTAAAAAGCACGAGAATTCCGTTTTCTTCCATATTTTTCGCTGGTTTATGTCTACAGTTCCACACTGTAAGAATGGACGATATCTCCGGACTAACCGTCCCCTCCCCTACACTAGTTTCAAGTGGGATGTTTTAGCACCAGTTCTCACACTGAACACAGCCGATTTGAAAATTAGTGATGACTAAATGTTGCCAAATCTAAACGTTGTGATGCGCGCACCCTAGAAATGTCCTCTTAACAAGTTTTCGAGTTTTTCGAGTCTTTTTTTTCGCACTCACCAAAAATGAAACTGCGTCCGCACATTCGTCTGCATGTCCAAGTCGGTTGAGCGGAATCGATCGCAACCAGTTCTGATGGTCTACCTCGTTCGCATACAGCGCTTTACTGAAGTCCGTTCGAATGATCCCTAAAAATTTTTGTCAATGAACCACATGCAATGATGGCACACAGCCAATGCTGACTGCACTTATCCCATTAAGTTCAAGTTTTCTGAAGAAACGTCCAAACTTCGGGCGCAGTTCTGGGACGGTGGGTGGGGGGAAGGGGCAGTTTGCACTTTCGCTGCTTCACTAGTTCTCTTTACAACACTCCTTCCGGTGAAACCTGTGAAGCTGGAGCAAGCTCTTCAAGTCATCTTGTTAAAACCTGTTAACTCGTGAAGGTTCATGAAATGGCTCTCGTTGGCTCGACGCATCAGCGGAAACTAGCGCAGTGCAAAATGCCCCCCCCCTCGGAGCCGAACTGCGCCAAATTTCGATTACAAACATCAGCTCCCCCACCGATTCCCTGAAAATTGCAGTAAGTGCCACATGCAAAACTTTCCAAGTTGTTTGCCAGGGGAATGTCTTCTGACCAGCTATTTCCAGGCGACACACGAGTATCTCGCGTGCCGGCAGGATACACGTGCTGTCTCTGCCACAAACAACTCCTCGTGCCTTCCCCGACTCACAGTGAAATCCCGCACATTTGAGCATGGTGATATTTATATGAGGGCAACTTTTGAAGAAAACTGGTTAAAATACAGGACATCGATCGATTCAGATATATCACGCCGCCCTAAAATCGAAAGGTCAATTCGTCCCGGAAAAAGGGCAAATCTATTTCATCACGCGATTTTGAAAGGTCAGATTAGAGCATATCAGAACAGAACCCTGCAGAAAACCCATGTGATATGCCGACATCCTAAATCAAAAACATTCCAGCATGTCACGTGAATTTGCAACGCTCTCATGGGACGACGATGGAATGAAAACAAGCATCGAGCCCGGCTGTTGTTATGAAATGGCTTGCACCACATGACATTTCCGCTGGCTATTTTGCGACCATTCATGCATGCAGTTCTCTAGCATGGAAACAAAGGTCAGATTTGCAACATTGCAACCCCGTTACAAAACGCCAAAACCCACGGCAACAAACCAGAAACAAAAGAGTACGTGATCACTTGGGAAGCTCTGCACGCTATTAGAGAAACTCGGCGAACTCAAAGGAGTGCCCAACGAAGAGCAGAAGGAAGCTTATCAAACATGGCGTAAAAATATGGGCTGCTATATCACTGCCTGTTGCTCCGCTCAATTATAGATTTGGGAAAACAGACGGATACAGTACCCCAAACTGCGCACAGGACAATGTGTGACAGCACAAAACATAACCCAGCTTCCGCCTATGCAGCCCTAAGCCAACAAAGAAGCGGAATTAGCGTCGCTCTCGCTTCCTGGCTTCACCCTAGAGCCTCCTCCTCCCCCTCCTATCTACGCGACTGCACGCAACAGTCCGTCTCAATGAAGAAAACCATGCATCAACCTATGCAAGAGGCGTGTGATACAGGCCAATTGACGTGCTCAACAAAACGGCCTACGGTATGCCCAATTTTGTGCATCCACGACCAATTTTTGACCTCACGTGCAATTTTCGGGTATACTATATCCCACCTATCCTTCTTTATTTATAATCTCCTGTTAGCTTTTGATGGCTCTGAAACCAACAAAACGTGGAAACATCTAGAAATGGGGAAATTTCCGGCGCTATCAGCTGGCTTATGGATGGCGGTCGTTAATTATGAAAACGCGGCCACAAACCTGGAGCTATGGCATTGACACGAATGTTCCGTCGAGCCAGAGACTGACTGAGTGCTTTGTTGAGACCGATGAGCG